TAAGATACACCAATATTTAGGATTTGAAGCCGAACAGAAGAGGCATTCGCTAGTTATTGTATGGGAAACAATTTTCGTCTTAAAATTGGCAATATGAAATTTGTACAGCCAAAAGTGATGGACAAACGTTATTATTAATGACTTCGAAAGTGGGTTCGAGTAGCCTCAGCAGTTATTGATTCCATCAGTTTCCTCACAATGGAAGCTAGGCTTATTGGTCTATAATTCAAAGCAAAGGACCTGTCTCCTGCTTTGTATTATTATTATAATCAAAAAGAAGCGCTAAGCCACAAGGGCTATACAGCGCTGCAGGGTAGGGAAGGAAGCGAGGGTATTGGGCGGTAGAAGGGAGGAGGGATGATCAGTACGTTACAGAAAACAGCGGGGCAGGGGATAGTACGGGGGTAGAGGGCAGCAAGACATTGAGGTAGAAAGGGCTGAAGGTATCATCAGAGTTTGTGAAGTAAGTCAGTTGCTGTCAAAAAGTCACTGAGAGAGTCCGAATGAAAGGTGGGCCCATCAGCGAGAAGGGAAGATAAAGAGAGAGCAGCGGAGCGAAGACGACGTTGGAGGTATATTGTGTGTGCTCGTTGATAAAGTGGGCAGTCTAATAGAATGTGGCTAACCGATAATGGAACCTAACAATTCTCACAGAGAGGAGCAGGGCGCCTTTCCATGAGATAACCATGAGTAAGACGAGTATGGCCAATGCGAAGACGGGAGAGAGTAGACTCTCAACCTCGACACTGGTGACAAGAAGACCACCAGTAAACTATGCTCAGTTTAATAGATTGAAGTTTGTTACCGAGCAGAGTAGACCAATGTTGTTGCCAACGGGTGTGAAGGTGGGTAGCTATTGCAGCAAAATAGTCAATAAATGGAACACCTCTATATGAAACTGGTAAGTCATGTACTGCTGACCGCGCAGCAGTGTCTGCCTGTTCATTGCCCTGTATGTCAACATGACCAGGGACCCAACAAAAAACAATATCTTTATGCTTGGAAGAGATGTGGTGCAGCCAAAGTTGGATACGGAGGACTAAGGGGTGAGGTGTATCAAATTTCTGTATATCCTGTAAATCACTAAGGGAGTCTGAGACAACCACAAATGATGACATAGGCATAGATGCAATACGGATAAGTGCTGCAAGTATTGCATATAATTCAGCAGTAAAGATACTAGCCGAAGATAGTAAATGCCCTCGTACGACGCTGTCCGGAAACACTGCTGTGAATCCTACGCCGTCAGAAGACGTAGAGCCATCTGTGTACACTGCAATGGCATGAGAATGAGAGTGGAAGTGATCAAGAAAAAGAGAGCGGGAAGCTACCATAGACAGTTGTGCTTTCGAGCAAGGGAGTGAGAAAGAACAGACTCAAACAGCTGGAACTTCCCAGGGAGGGTAGGGAAAAGTGAGATGCTACATGAACATAGAATGGTGGTAATTGAAGAGAAGGCAAGAGCGAATGTAGGCGAAGGGAGAAGGGACGGAGCAAACAGGGACGGCGAACAAATAAAGAATGTCTACTAATATCAGTGACCATACTATAAATGGAAGGATTGCGGAGATCATGAGAGCGTACATAGTAGCGAAGGCAATGGGCATCACGGCGATCGGATAAGGATGGAACGTTTGCTTCTGCATAGAGGCTCTCAACAGGGGAAGAGCGAAACGCATCAAGGCATAAATGTAATCCTTGGTGATGAATGGGGTTAAGGCTAGAGAGAGCAGCAGGCGAGGCCGCTGAATAGATCTGGTCACCATAATCAAGTTTCGATAAAATGTGGTCGGAATGTAGGCAAACGAGAGTTCGACGATCAGCTCCCCATGAAAGATGAGCAAGGGTTTAAAGAAGGTTCAGCTAACTGTGACAAGTTGCCTTCAGAGAGGTAATGTGAGGTTTCCAGGATAACCTACGGTCAAAGAGGAGGCCTAGAAACCTGATTGTATCACGTTCAGGGATACGGGAGCCATAGAGGTACAAAGGATGATCGGTGATGACAGAGCTTCTAGTGAAAGTAATTTGGTGAGTTTTGGTACTGGTGTGGTGGCCCAATTGGAAACACGGTCGACCGCATGTTGGAGAGAAACTGTAATGAGGTGACAGTCAGCGCCTGTGCATGCAATAGCGAAGTCATCAACATAGAGTGATGACCAAATATTGGATGGAAGAACAGAGGCCAAATCATTTATAGCAAGGAGAAAAAGTGTTGTGCTCAAAACACATCCCTGGGGGACACCTTCAGCCTGGATAAAGTCCGGGGAGAGCACATTATTAAGCCAAACACGGAAATGTTTGCCAATTAAAAAGTTCTTAAGGAAGGATGGTAGATTGCCTCGAAGGCCTAAGGAGTGGGCTTGGGCCAAAATGTTATACCAGGTCGATTGCAAGATTATTTGAATGGTCATCAGCACCACAGACTGGGCATTCGGCTATAGATCTGCAATATTTCGCTGGATGGCCAAATCGCCAGCAATTTCTACACTGTTGTGGTGTAGGGATCACCTTTCGAACTTGTAACCGATGTCCTGCTACATAAACTGAGGATGGGAGTTCACGGCTGTCAAAAGTTAAACGAGCCACATTGCTAGGGTATCATCTCCGCCCGCGGGCAGGAAGAACATAAGTGTCTACCTTGAGGATTGGGAGATCTTGGAGTTCCAGCTGTTCAAGAATGTCATTGCCACATGTCTGGAAATTTTGTTGAACTATGGTATGGGGCAGAATGACAGTGCCACTACAAGAATTGAGGGAATGATGTTTTTCAATAGAGACAGGAACAGTATCTATATTGGAAAGAAGAGAAAGATCATGAGCTTGGGTAGCATTCTGTACAGTGATGATGCGCATACTGCTCTTAAGAGCATGAAAAGAAATATCTTTACCAACATGGTGTAGGAGTGCCTTGCCAATACTGTGGCCGGAAAGATAGGTGGTAGAGGAAGTCTGATCGTAAAGTGAAGAATTTAGTCCATTGTGCAGTATGAAACTGAGCATGGAAAGGGAGTGCAGGATGTGTCGATCTTTTCTGAGAAGAACGAGAAGGTGGAGAAGTATCATCAGCAGGTAATTGTCGTTGGCGTTTAGGCGTGGGACCAGAGTTGGTCCGACGTGGAACGGGCCGGCGATTCAAAGATTGCCGCTCTATAGAGGGAGAGGCCGGAAGCATAGTCAAAGGAGAGCGGAGGTCAGATAAATCAAGGAGTCAGTCAAGACCTCAGTACCTGAAGCGGGTGAGGAAACAGCACCAGCAAGAGGTACAGAGGAATGAGGAGTGTCGAAAGAGTGGTCCAAAGATGAGGCGGGGCCAGAACGGGGTACGGTATCAAGAAGGAGCCCGGGGGTAGCAGGTTCATGGATTGGGTTCTCCATGGTTAGGTTATTCTTTCTTTTTGTTTTTAAGAAAAAAAAGAAAGAAGAAAAGAAAATAATCACATCTGCCAAGCTACCTCGGTGGACAAAAGAGAAGGCGGCCGGATATCCGCCACAAAGCATACCTCCTCCGGCCACCACCCCCGGAATCCGAAAGGTGGCTTCCAGAGATACACTCATCGCCCGAAAGACACCCAAAGCCACTCTCCAGGATACCAGAGAGGGATCGGGACATCCCCAGGCAATCCAGATTCCACGGCAAACTACGCCACCGCCAAGAACCTCAACGGAATGGGATGGACCCCGGTACCCTTTCCCCTACCTAGGAACTAGCGTGCCTTTGGGAAAAATCCCAAAGGCCAAAAAGAGGAAGGGCAAAAGGGAGGGGTGGGGAGGGGGAGGAGGGAAGGGAAAAGGGGAGGATGGGGAGGATGGGATAGGGAAGGGGGGATTAGGGGGTAATTAGGTTCGGTCTGAGGAAGGAGACCGACATGTCTAATTCCTCAGACCAAGAGCCTCTTCACCACGCCAAGAACTCCCCTTGAAGAGGTATTATTAATTAGTGATTCCTTGTTGGCAAGAACCAAGTCAAGAAGGTCATTTCTTCTCATTTTTTTTTTACCACGTACTCTAACATGTTTTTATATTACTCAATTAAATGATCTTTCTCATTTCCTCATATTTCCGGGTGAACCAAAAGTATAATACTAACATAAATTTATGTGATTTTATTTGTATGATTCTCACCTTTGAGTAACATTGGTACCTTTAAAACATCCTTCCAGATCGACACCATGCCCAGCCCTTCTAGGGTAGGTGCCTGAGCCCGAGCTTGCAGCTCACAAGACTATCATTCCCATTAGCCCCCTTCGGGCGGGGATGGCAGACCAGAGAGGCCTAGCTTTTGGCTAGGGCAGTGGACAGTTGGTCCCAAAGATGAGGAGGTACTTGTGCCTCCTCCCATGGAAGACTTAGGTCTCAGACACTCCCAAGACAGGGAGCCACCACTTGGAAAAGGCCCGGGCCGGGAGAATACCGGAGAATCATTAATAATAATAATAATAATAATAATAATAATAATAATAATAATAATAATAATAATAACATCCTTCCAGACATGTCTGAAATCTTGATGTTCATTATGATGTAATTTAAAATAATTTTAACATCTTATCTCCTTTAACCCATTAAATATACTTTTTCTAAATATTATCTGAAGATGTTTAACACATGCATTTTATATGAACTGTTACTACTACTGCTACTGTTATTACTAGTATTAGTAATAGTAGCAGTAGTAGTAATGAAAAAAGTATATAATAATAACTAAAATGAATCTTTCCATATGTGTGACACTATAGGGTCGAGTCAATGAACTCTGACAAGGGAGATGTGAGTGTATGCACCCAGCGGTTCTCGAACTAATAGAAGATAGTAGCAGCACTATTAGTAATTGTAGTAGTAGTGTAGTAGCACTAGTGGTAACTGTAGTAATTGTTGTTGTAGTAGTAATGGTGATAGCAGGAGTAACAGAAGTATTGGTAGTAATGTAGTATTGTGTTGTAGTATTGTTTTTGTTGGTTTTCAATATTTGGCATTAACAGTGTTTTCTTTTGTCAACACAGAACTGTGTAGCGAGAGAATATCGTTGTTTGGACAACCTGCAGATGAAGATGAAAAATAAATCTCAGCAAGAAGACTTAAGGAACTTAATTTTACTGTTTATTGTTCTCTTCCTTATACATGAAGCAAAGGACCCAAAGTTACTCTGGAAACCCATATTCAGTTGTCTGGTAAATGATTCAAGACCTTATGTTTCTTCATCAAATCATCATGACTGGCTTGACAATGTGGCCCGTAAATTAGATACTTCATATAGGCGATCCTATTATGAAGACATATTCGTAGGATTTGTTGATGTTTTGAAGAAATTCTTTCAGTCTACAAAGATCGAAAGGTTCAGTGATCAATCTTTTGATCACATTGACAGTTTAACTAGAAAAGCTCTTATCTTGTGCAGTGAAGAAAACTTTCCTGTTTTCATGCATCTCATAGCGAGTGTCGCATATGTGGACGGCAACAGTGCAGTTAATTGTGTGTGTCAGACGAAGCCGCTGCATCACGCTGCAGCAAGGAACAACATGTCTGCCGTAACCTACCTTCTCAGCTTGGGAGCATCTTGCACTGTCAAGGACAAGTGTGGCAATACTCCAGCACACTATGCCTACATGATGGGCCACCGAACAATGGGGGAATTCCTAAACGTACAAGAGGTTCAGAAGGAAAAGAATATCATGGGTCGCTCTCCTGAATCTGTTTGGGAAGATTTCAAAACCTACATGAGCCAGTATAAGTTAAATATTGAGAAATGTCATACAAACAAGTTACAAGAGCAAAACACGGAGGAAATGTTAATAAAACTTCACCTTGAACACCTCAAAGAAATATGGCAAAGCAAAGGAATACGTGAAACAGTGAAAGAAGCTCACGTAAACTTTACAGAGGGAGAAACTAGGGAGGTTAAACAAGCCGTTCAGCAGCTGTTGACGGAGATCCACAATGAAGTAGTTAAGAGAAATACGTTGTTCGAAGGTGAACTACAAGTACTTGGCAGCTCCTCAGACAATGTTCGTCTTTACTGTCCAGACGAATATGATGTAAACATTACACTGAAGAGAATAAGTTGTCTTTCTGATGGAGATTTTTCTTTAAAACTAGAAGACTCAAGTGAGAAATATTCTTTAAGAAATATCATTGTATCTGCCAATAACGAGGGTAAGAAATACCTGATTCACAGTTCATATATACAAGACACATTTTATAATGAGGTAAAACAATGTCTCATTAATATGAATTTTGAGAATAAACAACTTGCCCCCGTCTTACCGGGTTTGAAGAAAACACAGGTAGGTGTTGGTTTAAGTTTAACGTGGTCAGGCAGGCAATACCCACTTTTGTTGGTGGATATCGACATTGTTCTCACTATACGAGCAAAGTGGCCAGATAATCTCTCAAAACCAAAGCTCTTAAGCCCAAATATCAACAATGTGTTTCTCAACTCAATTGGAGAGAATGAATGGAGATTTTCTTTCGCTATTGCTGAGAATCATATCATGAAAACGCTGCCAGAGGACCATCGCCTGGTATTTCTGGCCTGCAAAATGGTGTTGGCTTCCCTCAAGGTGGAAGGCTGGGTACCACGACAGATAAAAAAACAGTTTACTTACTGGGATGCTAGACAATTCCGTATTAAGCCTCCTGGGGGGTTTTCACTCAAAAATGCATTTTTCCTGGAACTGGAAGAAACAATAAAGAACCTTAGTTGGAGAAAAAAAACTCTGCTGGAAAAGATCCAGTCCGTGTTCCAGCGGATGTGTATACAAGATAACAATACGGTTCGTGATGGTCGTATAGCAGCATATTTTGGAGGTGATACAGAGAAGTCTCCACTTTGTTCTGGAGCTGCTGTGATATATTCTTTCCTCGAAACCTTCAAAGAAATTTCTAAAAACAATAAAGAATCGATAAAATATGAAATTTAAGGCGAAGAAATGTGCTTCTCTTAACTACCATTCTATAGTTCGTAGAATTAAAGTTTTGACATTTTGTAAGAGAGAATATGATGATTTATTACAGAAATTTATTTCAACTTATTTGTATCTATTAAGTTCTTCTAAAAAATTTAATATTAATAAACATATTTCATTAAAATATCTTTGTATGTATTAAATTTTTTTGAAATAATGTTTGCATATACTGGAGGGCCCCACTTATACAGCAGGTTATGTTGCAGGCTACCGCCGTAAAGTGAAACGCCTTTTTAACTTTCCCTCACTTTCACATGCTCATAAACGCCTGATAACATGTTTGTGCTATCGTATATTATATGAACAATAGAGCTGGGCCCTAAAAATGTATATACAGTACACACATTAATTATAATATTTTTGTCCTTTGCTTATAGTGAGTGATGAATACATTTATTGTATGAAGTCTAAATAAATGAAGAATGGGCATAACTGAAAACCACTTCATCAGCGAAACGCCGTAAAACGAAGCGCTGTAAAGCGAGGCCAGACTGTACAACAATAAGCACCCACTGTGTCTTAACACTTATCAATATTTTACATCGAGTCACAATCTCTTAAAGTCTTCGCGAGAATAACAAGACAGTGACTTATGCAGTGTTTTTAATATTTTTCTGATGAATATGGTCAGAGATGACAGTTAATATTGGCAAGTACTGGTGTGTAATTAACGCTGTTAGCAGAGTTAACATGACATATATTTAACCTGTTAACATATTCTAAAACAATAAATTAATTTCCGTACCGTTGATACAATAAGTGCAGATATTAAATGTGTTTGCAAATAACTGCTGAGAGAATACATTAATAAGGAAAAACATTGTGCTCCAATATAATGTTTAACAATAATTACAATTCATTAACATTAATTAATCATGTCTTAATAAGTAACTCATTATCTGTGGAACCAAAAAAGCCATTTTAATACAAATTCTAAATAAATTTGGTTTTGCTCATACGAAATTGATGTTTTAATTATAATTTTTCTACGAGTAAATAATAGATTAATCTAGCGAAACATTGTTGAATAAATGTAATTCTTAAGAGAAATTGTAAGATAAGATAAGATAAGATAAGATAAGATTTCGTTCGGATTTTTAACCCCGGAGGGTTAGCCACCCAGGATAACCCAAGAAAGTCAGTGCGTCATCGAGGACTGTCTAACTTATTTCCATTGGGGTCCTTAATCTTGTCCCCCAGGATGCGACCCACACCAGTCGACTAACACCCAGGTACCTATTTGCTGCTAGGTGAACAGGACAACAGGTGTAAGGAAACGTGTCGAAATGTTTCCACCCGCCGGGAATCGAACCCGGGCCCTCCGTGTGTGAAGCGGGAGCTTTAGCCACCAGGCCACCGGTGAGTAATGTTACTTATAAAGTTGTTTAACAGGACTTGTAGTGTTGTATGGCAGGACTTGTAGTGTTGTATGACTGGACTTGTAGCGATGCATGACTGGACTAGTAGTGTTGTATGGCAGGTCTTGTAGTGTTGAATGACAGGACTTGTAGTGTCGTATAACTGGACTTGTAGCGTTGTATAACTGAACTTGTAGTGTTGTATAACTGGACTTGTAGTGTTGTATGGCTGGACTTGTAGTGTTGTATGACTGGACATATAGTATTGCATGACAGGACTTGTAGCGATGTATGGAAGGACTTGTAGTGTTGTATGAATGGACTTGTAGTGTCGAATGGCAGGACTTGTAGTATTGTATGACTGGACATGTAGTATTGCATGGCAGGACTTGTAGCGATGTATGGAAGGGTTTGTAGTGTCGTATAACTGGACTTGTAGTGTTGTATAACTGAATTTGAAGTGTTGTATGGCTGGACTTGTAGTGTTGTATGGCAGGACTGGTAGTGTCGTATAACTGGGCTTGTAGTGTCGTATAACTGGGCTTGTAGTGTCGTATAACTGGACTTGCAGTGTTGTATGACTGGACTGGAGTTTACCTGGAGAGACTTCCGGGGGTCAACGCCCCCGCGGCCCGGTCTGTGACCAGGCCTCATGGTGGATCAGAGCCTGATCAACCAGGCTGTTACTGCTGGCTGCACGCAAACCAACGTACGAGCCACAGCCCGGCTGATCAAGAACCGACTTTAGGTGCTTGTCCAGTGCCAGCTTGAAGACTGCCAGGGGTCTGTTGGTAATCCAACTTATGTATGCTGGGAGGCAGTTGAACAGTCTCGGGCCCCTGACACTTATTGTATGGTCTCTTAACGTGCTAGTGACACCCCTGCTTTTCATTGGGGGTATGTTGCATCGTCTGCCAAGTCTTTTGCTTTCGTAGTGAGTGATTTTCGTGTGCAAGTTCGGTACTAGTCCCTCTAGGATTTTCCAGGTGTATATAATCATGTATCTCTCCCGCCTGCGTTCCAGGGAATACAGGTTCAGGAACCTCAAGCGCTCCCAGTAATTGAGGTGTTTTATCTCCGTTATGCGCGCCGTGAATGTTCTCTGTACATTTTCTAGGTCAGCAATTTCACCTGCCTTGAAAGGTGCTGTTAGTGTGCAGCAATATTCCAGCCTAGATAGAACAAGTGACCTGAAGAGTGTCATCATGGGCTTGGCATCCCTAGTTTTGAAGGTTATCATTATCCATCCTGTCATTTTTCTAGCAGATGCGATTGATACAATGTTATGGTCCTTGAAGGTGAGATCCTCCGACAGGATCACTCCCAGGTCTTTGACGTTGGTGTTTCGCTCTATTTTGTTGCCAGAATTTGTTTTGTACTCTGATGAAGACTTAATTTCCTCGTGTTTACCATATCTGAGTAATTGAAATTTCTCATCGTTGAACTTCATATTGTTTTCTGCAGCCCACTGAAAGATTTGGTTGATGTCCGCCTGGAGCCTTGCAGTGTCTGCAATGGAAGACACTGTCATGCAGATTCGGGTGTCATCTGCAAAGGAAAACACGGTGATGTGGCTGACATCCTTGTCTATGTCAGACATGAGGATGAGGAACAAGATGGGAGCGAGTACTGTGCCTTGTGGAAAAGAGCTTTTCACCGTAGCTGCCTCGGACTTTACTCTGTTGACTACTACTCTCTGTGTTCTGTTAGTGAGGAAATTATAGATCCATCGACCGACTTTTCCTGTTATTCCTGTAGCACGCATTTTGTGCGCTATTACGCCATGGTCACACTTGTCGAAGGCTTTTGCGAAGTCTGTATATATTACATCTGCATTATTTTTGTCTTCTAGTGCATCTAGGACCTTGTCGTAGTGATCCAATAGTTGAGACAGACAGGAGCGACCTGTTCTAAACCCATGTTGCCCTGGGTTGTGTAACTGATGGGTTTCTAGATGGGTGGTGATCTTGCTTCATAGGACCCTTTCAAAGATTTTTATGATATGGGATGTTAGTGCAATCGGTCTGTAGTTCTTTGCTGTTGCTTTACTGCCCCCTTTGTGGAGTGGGGCTATGTCTGTTGTTTTTAGTAACTGTGGGACGACCTCCGTGTCCATGCTCCCTCTCCATAGGATGTTGAAGGCTCGTGAAAGGGCTTCTTGCAGTTCTTGATGAACACGGAGTTCCATGAGTCTGGCCCTGGGGCAGAGTGCATGGGCATGTCATTTATCGCCTGTTCGAAGTCATTTGGCGTCAGGATAACATCAGATAGGCTTGTGTTAACCAAATTCTGTGGCTCTCTCATAAAAAATTCATTTTGATCTTCGACTCTCAGTCTGGTTAGCGGCTTGCTAAAAACTGAGTCATATTGGGACTTGAGTAGCTCACTCATTTCCTTGCTGTCATCTGTGTAGGACCCATCTTGTCTAAGTAAGGGCCCAATACTGGACGTTGTTCTCGACTTTGATTTGGCATAGGAGAAGAAATACTTTGGGTTTCTTTCGATTTCATTTATGGCTTTTAGTTCTTCCCGCCATTCCTGACTCCTATAAGATTCCTTTAGCTTAAAAGTTCGATGTTTGCTATTTCTCTTACCAGTGTCTCCCTACGCATTTCAGATATATTGACCTCTTTTAGCCGGTCTGTTATTCTTTTCCGTCGCCTGTAAAGGGAGCGCCTGTCTCTTTCTATTTTACATCTACTCCTCCTTTTTCTTAGAGGAATAAGCCTTGTGCATACGTCGAGTGCCACCAAGTTAATCTGTTCTAGGCATAAGTTGGGGTCTGTGTTGCTTAGTATATCTTCCCAGCTTATATCGGTTAGGACTTGGTTTACTTGGTCCCACTTTATGTTTTTGTTATTGAAGTTGAATTTGGTGAATGCTCCCTCGAGTGTTCGCATCGCTATTGGGCCGTGCGGACGTGCTGCGCAGTAGATCCTGATTGAGTTGGCTTTTGCGCAGTGTTGACGTGTACTTGGCTGTGTGAAGACCTGTTTGCGCGCTCTCTAGAATTGAAGCAAGATGCCCTCCATCGAGCAACTTTACCAACAGCTTAAGGAAGAACTGAGGTTGGCGAATATGGAAATTCGGCGACTGACCGAGGAAAACAAAAAGATTCGGAGTAGTCCTCCTGTTTTGAGTCCTCAGGTCAAGAAGGGAAACTGGTCAGTGGCTGGACAGCAGGGAAAGAAGTTGACGATCAAGAAGACGAATGGAAAGGTAGAAACGATGAAGAAGAAAGAGACTGCCGTGGAAACTGTTGTGGAAACATCCAATACATTCTCAGTGCTACCCGACGAATGTGAGTCGACTACTGGGAACGTCACGACGAAAGACATTAAGGAAGGTACGAATATTGTTGTTGTTGGGGATAGCCAAGTTAGGTATATCGATAGGGCGTTCTGCTTGAAGGACAGGAAGGAGTAGGAGACAGAGAGTTTGCTTTCCTGGGGCTGGGATGGAGGATATTGTTAGCCGTCTGGATGACATCATGAGAGGTAATGGGAGCAATCCTATTATCTGTCTCAGTGCTGGAGGCAACGATGTTGGCAGACGTAGGAGTGAGGACCTGATTAGCAGGTATAGGTCAGCAATAGAAATAATTAGAAGTAAGGGTGGGAACCCTCTCATATGTGGTATTTTGCCAAGGAGAGGAGTTGGAAATGAATGGTTGTCCAGGGCAACTGGTGTCAATTGCTGGCAGGACAAATACTGTAAGGAAAATGCGGTAACATTCATTGACAACTGGGACCTCTTCTATGGCAGA